TTTTAAAATGATAATTTTGCAAGAATAGAATTTTTTAAATATTTATTGTGTAATGGGGATGTAAAATATTTTTTTGTCGATCTTTTAATATAAAATTTCCCCCGTATTTTTATAATAAATTGATCAACAATTCTCTCATTCATAGACGGATCACCAATTAAATAACTTATATTATATTAGAGCATTTATCACATCAAATAAAAATAATTTGACGTTAGATCAAATTATAGGAAAAATATCCTATACTAACAATTCTGGTAGATTAATCAAAAACATATCACCAGTAATTAATTCTGGCGGCAAATACTTGAGCTGGGAAGATACAATCCCTGATAATACAATGACTGCAGTTTTGTATTGTTTTATAAATTTTTTTTAAAAAAAAACCCCTAGTTTGATCATTTATTAATAGCCAATTAATTTCTTTAAAATAGATGAAATCACTAAATATTTGAAATTTTTGTCTGAGATGTTTCCAACTAAAAAAATCATACTATTACTATTCAAAAGTTCTTCTTAAATGTATGAGTCGGGGTGGGAAAGTAATGTATAATAAAGATTCTTGATATTTAACAATAAATATTGTATATATTATTGTCAAAAGTTATAATAACAGAAAATTTATTTATTCATTTTAGGCCAGAATTTTGGCAATTAATATTAATAGGGATTTAATCTCGCCCTTTTATTTGCTAGGATAATAAATTTAATATATATACTAATATGGTAAATGAGAAGAACAAATGACCAAGTCATCTGTTTTAAAATTTCCACGTGTGATGATCACTATTATTATTTATGTCACTTACCCCAATGCCCCAATTTTTCACTTCAAAAATATTGGAAAATTTTCTGCTAAAATTCTTCTTTCAATTCTTTTAAACTTTTAAATGTTTAAATTTACTTTTAATCTTTTGGATGATTTTGTTTATTTTTATATATTATTAATCTATAGTAACAACAACTAATAATAATAGTTCCATAATTTCGGTATTTACAATATTTATTATGCCAGACCTAAGTACAGTTTTTCTTGCTACTTCATTAACTGTTCTCTACGGTGGTTCATTAGTAAAACTTATCAACGAATGTTTTGTTGTAAGTACGATGTGGGACGGGAATGAATTAAAGAAGTAAAATAAATTTTCTTTTTCAACTAAGAAAATATTTGAATATTAATTTAAAAAAAATTTTTTTTCATAATAACTTTAAATAGATAAGTTGGAATCAGAAACAAGATATAATTACTGCTGATGAAAATTTAATAAAAAGATTAAAAGGTATTTCATTACTCATTAATTTATTATTATTATTATTATTATTTATTATTATTTATTATTATTATTATTATTACTTACAAGCATGTTTAATTGTCAGGTGAGAT